TCTGAGTGAGCGGCTACAGCTGCGACTTGGCTTGCTGCTTGCGGATTTTCCAGTACCAGCCCCGGGTGATGGAGGGTGCACAACCTCCTTAACCCCCACAGCATCCTTCTCTTTGCAGCATGTGTGCACATGTAAGTGTATGTGTTTGTCTGTGTGTGTGTGTGTGTGTGTGTGTGTGTGTGTGTGTGTGTGTGAGCTGCAGCTGTGCGAACAGCTGTCTATAGTAACACGGTTCATTGGTGCACACCCCCAAAGATGAGCTCAGACTACACCTCTCAAAAGTGTGTCTAACTCATGAGAGCCAACGGCATTCTTATGGCCCTTGTGGGGGCTCTTTAGGGTAACAGTGTTATACAAGTGACTACCAAAGAGGAATACTTTCATCTTAAGGGTCTAGGATAATGAAAACATATTTTAAGACATGATGATGAATTCAGAGGGGGATTTTGTGTGTTCGTGCAGTGAATGCCATGTATACATAGATTTACATAAATATGTAAACATACAGTGTGCTTAAGTGCATGTAGATGTATGTAATCATGCCGTATTCATCCTTCAAATGAGATGTTCAGGTTCCAAACGATTGGATGTCTTTGGCTCAGAATGGATCTTATGAAGCTCCATGTGATGGCTTTTTTTTTGTGACATCTGTGTCAGTTTTTTTTCCTTCCAATTTAGACCACAGATGCTTGTTATCGAGTCAAGAGATATCTAAAATAACTGACCCAAAAGAGTTGCAGCTCGCCCAGAAAAGGGAAATGGGCGCGTTTCTGGAGGCGAAAACTTGTGCAGTCAAAAAGCTAAAGGGGTTGATATTTTCACTGAGATGATGAAGGCTCTGGACGTTGATGGGCTGTCTTGGCTGACACACATCTTCAGTTTTGCATGGAAGTTGGGGTCAGTGCCTGTGGAGTGGAAGACCTGGGTGGTGGTTCCCATTTTTACAAAAGGGGATCAGGGAATGTGTTCCAATAATCTGGGAATCACACTAATCAGACTCCCCAGGAAGTGAAAACTGGAGTGTGAGATTGACAGTAAAGGTGTTGCTGGGGAGAGGGATGTCTGGAATATCCTGTAAAGCCTGCTGCCCCCGGGACCCAGCCCCGGACAAGCGGAGAGTAAATGGATGGATGGACAGATTAACTGGCAGTTCTCGTATACAGGAAATAATTGTAAGCAACAGGTGAACTCTCCAGCATCAAGCTTACCATAAAGATTACAAACCATCAAAAACACTTTATGAACCGCTCTGTTTCCTCTTGCACTTTACACAAATGCATGCAAATCATTAATAAAATCATCAATCTTTCATGATAAGATCAATAACCAGAGCAGGGAGAGGCTACCTCCAGAGAACATTAGATGACTTCAGCCCTAATACAATTCCCCATCTACAGAGAAGATCCATGGAGCAATGTCAGTCATAACCCAACTGGGGCACAGCAGATATGATGAGGCCCTCAAATTAACTTTTGGTTATGAAACAGCCTGCAGATGATAAAAACATAACAGCCTCTTGGGTGTTGCAGCTAAGAATCCATCCCCATTGGCTTTACCAGTGCTAGAGCTTGTCATAACTGTTCTGGTTCATGCAGATGAGCATGTCTCTTGATTTCCCACGGTGCTAAAGAAGCGCCATGTGTGCCCTATATACTGTATATGTCCTAGCACATGTGTTTACATGCAATGAACCCTGTGCGTTGATATAATAGCTCCTGGCACGCCTGGACATGCACACAACAAATAGGGACGATCAAAGTTATTTTTGCTCTTCCTGCAATGCATACACCATTTAGAACTGTAAGACTATCAACAAAATCAAAGTGAGGGGGGTGGAAACAGGCTTGTCAAACAGCGTGTGATGGAGAAATTAATTCTTTCTTTGCATATCTGAGGCTTACACTTCCTCCTTCAATCCCTCAACCCTCTGTCTGACAAATCCAATTACCATGACATGAACATTGCTGTTCTGTATACACACCACAACCAGGATCTTGGCAAGGGGATGGGTAGGATGGGGCACCAGGGACCTGAGCCAGACAGACACAGAGGCCTGGCAATAGAGGGTCTCCGCTCAGCCTGTAGCCCGCCTCCAGCTGGAAGACCCAGTTCCTTGACAGGTTGGCAGTGCTAACTGCTCGCCTACCCTCTGGTCTATCGCTGCCTGTCATCTGTCTTCCAACACCAGCCCTCTCGCTTTTCACATGCCACTTCATTCCTCTCCATCCTAATTCACAGCCATCTTATATCCCTATCTTTCGTTCAAATAGAATTTGCATTCATATTTGTTGGCTAAAGGTTTTCTCATGGTGACACCGCTATAATTCATCCACTTTTTTACTCGTAGGTAGTCAAGGCATTAGTGCAGAGACCTGCAGTTGTGCATGAATTGACCTCTGAAAATGATTTATAATATCCGCATCTAAGGAACTATATTTGTACTTGTGTGATTGTCAGATTCAAATTTTCGGGAGGATCAGAAACATTTGGCTGACTCCAATTTTAGAGGAGATATTTTTTTGTTGTGGGAAAAACAGGCTGTCGTGACCTAACTGACTAAACCAAATTGCAGTTTGCAAAACTTAACAAGCATCTTCTACCCCTGAGTGTTGGCACACACTTTAAATCACCAAACACGATCATAGCGCTTGTCAGACAAATAAAAGCGAGCTACAAACTTTTTTTCCCAGAGCTGCACAGAGAAAACATCTTGTGGAGGTGTCTGACAAGCTGTCAGCTTGTGCAGTCTCCTGGTCCATGCCAGTGTGCAGATTTGCATTCAGCTCAAAGGAGGCCTGAAACATCAAAGCCTCTTTGAAGCACCACTTGATGCTGCACAATAGGACAGGTGAAGAAAAAACAATACAACGCAGAAAGGCTCTGAACTACTGTACCCATAATGCACCACAGATCCTAAAATAAAAGTGGGACACATCAATGCCATGATAGAAAAAAACAAAACTTAATGATGTGCGTTAACAAAAGAAGAACAAAGGTTATCTTTCTACATTATCTCTCGCAGAAAACTGATATTTTTGTATTTCCGCTCTTAAGACTTTTGCATAATATCTGTAAACACTGTCGACGGATGATGGTGACAGTCAAAGCAAGGAGTTTGAATAATAAAATATGCTAAATAAAGAGCTGTGGGAATCTGTAGCATATAATTCAGAAACTGACATGTAATTACCATCAAAAGAATTTCTGACAGCAACTGAGAAAGACTACCGTAAGAAATGAGCACTTATCTTTGACATTTTATTGGAGTGTTATGTATCCAATCCCTGCTAAGCAACATTATTTAAATTTTAAAATAAAACTCGAACACGAGCAATTAAATCATTTACTATTCTCATAACTCTGAACCTGAGGCTTCAATCTTTCAATCAGCTAAAGGTTTATTGAAAAGTGGGGCAAATGATATACTATTCTCATTCTCAGGCACAAAAGTAGACATACATATCAATACATAACGACAATGTATTTTTTGTTGTGCAGACATTTCACACCTTGACAACCTTTACTCCTATAAGGAACTCATTATCTGTGTTCTGAAACTGACAACATCTGTATCACAAGACATTGCATGACTGCTGATAATGTATGACTTTTCCCTGATACTGTTAATACCAGATGATAGTCAGAGCAACAGCCCACCTGCTGACCACGCCTCACAACACTCTCCTTCTTTAATCCATCCTGACATCACAGTACTCATGCATGCTGTCTGTTGCCTAGAAGGAGCCTGTGAAGGCCTTGTCCAATCAAACATCTATTTAAATCAAAACACACACACACACACACACACACACACACACACACACACACACACACAACCATATCGGGTAATCTCTGTTCCTGTCAGATATGCCTGCTGGATGTTGACTTGAAAGGTTTGTATGTATGGAACCTTCAATAGATGCTCAGCTTGTCATTGTTTGGATCACATATTCTCTGCGGCCAAGTCTGTAAACGACGCAACATGTTCAAAAAATTCAGCCGCTTATTGACCTTGAAATGAAATGCTAAGTTGCACTACATTCAGGTAAAGAGGAGATGAATAAGGGATACAAACACCAAATATTAAGAGAATAAACTGAGAATAAATGCTGCAGCTCTCCGTCAATCACGCCCTGACAGGGAAAAGATATAATGTTTCATCATTCATTTCCAAGCTGACGTTGACCGAACAGGCCTGAACTGTTTACCCTCCCACAAGTGTGTCTTTGGCTGGTATGGTAATGGGCTTGGTTCACTTGAAATAAAGAATCACCAAAGAGTATACCTGTGCAGAATGTCAAGATGTGACACTTTGAGCTTTCACAAGTATTAATCACCAGTTCTTGCAAGAAAAACTCACCCAGCCACCCCCTCTGTCAGTCTCCTTGTCCCTCTCCCAGGATCTTATACTCTCCACTGAGGCTCTCATGTAGAAACCCATTATGCATTTCATAGCAATCACACCAGGCTCCTGAGCAATTACTTCCAGTTGGCCTGGACGCTGTTTATTTGCGTCGGCATGGGAATTCATCGGGTAAAACTCAAGACAGCTGAGAGGGAGGGTATTTATTTTTCATGTACCAAGCGCATTTGCTAGCATATATGCTTCCCCAAAGACGTCTTGACGACGGCTCAATGCTCATTTTAATTAACACATAAGCCTGTTGATGGTAATTAAAAAGCAGACAAAAAAAAGATCACACAGAGGGGGAGAGCTGTATATCCGAACGCACGAAAACATGCAGCGGCAGCGCTTGGCACCTATTCAGAGGAGATTTCATGTAGCCTTCTTGAAGAATATGCATTACAAGTGGGCGCATCAAACCGAGTGCATCGAACAGATTTTTGATGTTAGTTATTTTAGGTGGAAAATGCAGATTTTGCTCAAATTTAAAGCAGAGAAACTGCTTTTAGATGTATACTCTGACACTGACAACATCTGCGATAACCAGATGATTTGGTGGAGAGTAAAGTGTAAATTTAGTATCTGTGCTACTTACTTCATGGGCTTGAACAGAGCTTGTCCATAGTTCTGGAAAGTCATGATCAACTTCAGCTGGGTGCCTCCTGATTTCATGGCTGAGAGAAAAACAATTGAGATGTTAGATGAGTATTTGAAGCAAACAAACACTCACACACACACACACACACACACACACACACACACACACACGCACACACATAAACCCAAACACACTGAAATACACTTCCGCATAAGCACAGCTGTGTCATTATTTGCCAATTTGGAGGATGCAATTTTGCATGACTGCGTAATAGAGCTTTCACATCTGCTGACCAATTTGCCAGACACTGTACAACCAAAGTGGCAGTTAGGAAGTGGGTGTGACTGGGAGACAGAAGTGGCGTGAAAAGCGTCTGCTGACAACTACAGCTAGTTCTGAGTTTGATGAAACTGGAGATGGACAAATATAATAGTGACAACATGTGTCACTTTGAGAGAGCCAAAAAACACAGTGATTTTTGGCACATTAAGTCCACAGACACTACAATTCAGAAGCGTGTTATTATTGTGCAATTACATTTTGAACATCCTCTTGTTTCAAAACTTGGCTGAATCTTCATTTCCTGAATCAAATATAAAACGAACTGCGTGTTTCCATCCATGTGTGTATATGTGCACATAACAGACCTGTTTTCTGACCAGATGTTTCTCTGTACACAGATGTGCTTGTGTCTTCCTCTCACTCCCACCAAACTGATCTCAACGAGCAAAACGTGAGCCAGGGCCCATGTCTCTGGCTATCAGTCATGTCCACAGTGTCTCCCAGAGGCTGATGGAGCCTTAACTTCTTGCCTGCCTCCGACTCAAACAAAGGCACCTGCCCGGCCTGTCTAAATGCCTTGTGTTTCCGTCATAATGGACGGGCTTTCGGTGGGATTTGCCCATTTATTACAGCGCATTAACTTGAGCGTATTACACAACACAGCGCTTCTGCCTAACCCCAATATCAACATAAGCCCCATGTAGTGGACCCACTTACTGAATGGCTTGCTGGCTGAGTAGCTGGCTGCACTCTACCCACAGAACTGTCTTTTGTGTTTATCGACTCTCTTGGTGTTTCTCTCATAAAAGAAATATTATGAGAGAACCCTTTTTCGCCTTCCTTGTTTGCACATGTCATCCTTTTATTCATATTGTCTCTGCTATGCTCTGTCTGTCTCACTTTGCTTTACTCAATGCTGGCAAGCCTCCCCATTTACCGTGACTCATTTTCAAAAGCTTCTGCATTTTTCATCCACTGTTGCACAGAGTTAAACCCGCATAACCTGAGGTGAGCGCCTCTTCTTCACGACAGAGGATGGATATTGAAAGTAGATTGGCAATCAAAGCCAAAGAACGCACCGAGAGCATTATGCCTACACATGTGCTAGATTCGCTGCAGCCAGGACAAGTGGACGGTGCCCCAGAGTAATCTTTAAACTTGTTACAGCTATACAGCAAACCTAAAATTTTTGAGAGATTGCAAACAACTGGACAATGTTTTAATACTGTGACTTTGAACCCATAAGCCACAATCCTTGAGGAGCTGACCTCAATTCTCTGCTCTGTGCTGGACGTTTATAAAATTTTGTTTCTAATTGGAAACTACAAAAGTTAATCCCCTGTGAAAAACCCGAGCAGAGCTCAGCTGATTGTTTCTCTGGATTGAATCTGCGCTGACATGTGATCAAACATGTCAGCAAACTTCATTACAGTCATTTAGCAGACGCTTTTATCCAAAGCGACTTACAATTCAGATTCTAACACACAGCTACGGGAGCAATTTATGGGGTTAAGCTCCAGGACACATCGACATGCGACTAGCCAGAGCCGGGGATCGAACCGTCTGATTGAAAGACGGCCATGCTCTCCACTTACGCACCGTCGCCCACTTCAACAAAAGATCCTTTTGATTCTCCTAAAGGCCATCTGTCTCGGTATCTGTGCGAGGATGTATGGGCCCCTGTTGATCTAACCATCCATCTCTTGCTCCGTTTCTCCGAGCATCCACAAATGAATCGATGTAGTCTTTTCTAAACCTTCATGTTCTCTGGTCTTTCAGAAAGCCCTGGGCCTCGCCCACCACCATCACATTGCCCTCCCATCCCCATGATGATAAATCCACCCTGCTCTCACCTGTGCCACCTCACGGCACTGTGCGTATGATTTATGAGTTCAGCTGGAGATGGAACAAAAGGCCGCAGAGGGACAGACACAGAGGAGGGAGGCACTGTTACAGAGAAAATGCTGAACAGAGAAACTTCTGTGTTTTGTAATTTTAGTGGGACAGATCTGAGGTGTGCGTGTGCTTTAATTACGGGGCACAAAAGCTGTAATGCGTGCTTCCAGGCACACACACACACACACACACTGCGCTGGGTTTTCATTTCAGAAGACAGATGTGTGTGTTCTATAGGTGTGTCTGGGCACAGATTGATGGTTTATATATTATAAACAGAGGCGACCAAAAACACACAAACTATTAAGTTTAGGCGGAGATGTGTAGCATGAATGATGAATGATTGTGAGCTGCCAGAGGGACTCATAACAAAGAGGTAGTGGAGACAGCCTCAATAAGAAATACAATGACACTGATGCACAAAGAGATAGAGATAACACGCCCCCGTGGAGGATATTTTGGTGTTCACTGTCCAGTTTTTATGAAGCCATTATAGCAAAAATGATAAGGTATATTCACACTGAGATCTCTTTCACAAAGATTTGTTGAAGATGGTATCAGTATAATGAGAAGTTAAAAAACAAACTACAGTAAAGAAAATTTACATCATGGGAGAAAAATACAAATCAGTCTTATAGCAGACCTGTCTCTTTGTCAGTTGACAAATACTTAGCAGAAATCTTGCAATCTCTGCACCTTGACATCTTTTTTTTACTTTTTACAGAACAGAATTTCTTAAAGCTTTCCTTGAGTTCCCCTAGCAATTTGCACATATTGATCATCTGAAAAGCAAAGTGTCTACAAATGAAAAACAGTGATGGATATTTAGCAATGAAAGCAATGTTTAGACTTTTAGACTTAGTAGAGGGGAATTCTTCTCCACTCTTCTCTCCATGTTTCCTGCCAATAGCTTTGCCAGAAGATGTTTCGTCGTCACGTTTTTCAGGCATGTGTGATCCCTCCTTTTCTACCCATCTGTTATCCATCCTTACTTTCAATTTAGTAGCGCAGCACATGTTCTCATTCAAATCTTTACGATTTTGTGACTGACTCACCCACGCTGGTGATCCTCTGTGTGACCAGGTCCTTCAGGAGGGCGTCCAGCACAAGACTGTGTCTGGAGTACAACTCGTAGCGGTTGATGCCGATGTGGAAACGTAACCAGTCGGGGTAAGATTCTGCAGTCGCCTCTCCTGTTGGAGAGAACTCCTCCTCCTCCTCATCGTTCCCCTCCTCATTGTGCCTGGAAAACAGGGAGAGTGGAGGAGGTTTAACAAGACGTTGTGGTGCAAGCAGATTCCTGTTTAGATTATTTTTAGTCTTTGTTATTGGTAGACAATTTGTTGCAGTCTCAATACAGACTAACTGTGTCAGACAAATTCAAGCTGAAGGATAGGCTTTTGGCACAAAACACTTCATTCTAGTAACACATGGAGTTAAAATAGTTACAATATAGCCTTAATGACAGGTATATAAAAAAATCCAGCATGTAGCAACTTGTAAATTGTGTGCCTTAAAGGTAAAATGCCATGAGAATAGGTGTGTGGAGACAGCAGATGCATCATTATAGTGGACATTATAGTTGAGGCAGAGAAAACAGACGGATGAACCTGTCTGCTGGTTGATTTGATGATATCCAAACAGACAGGCAGATATGAGCACATGTCTCATGATTTGCAAGCCTGCATGAACAAGAGCTAACTGAATTCAACTACTTCAATATTGATATCAGATTACTTATATTTCTTTGTGGAGCAAACATGTAATATCACCTACCTTTGGTCCCCTTCTTCCATCTCATTATCATCAACAGCTAAATAGGTTAAAGCAGTCTATTCCAGGTCACACTTGTAACCCTTTAAGTTTTAAACATTTCCATCAGCTTACCATCCTTGGTTCGCGGTTGCTCTGGGATAGAACCTGATGTCAGTGTTCACGTTGAACAAAGTGTCATCGTTTGTGAGGGGAGGAAGGTCAACCTTGTAAAAAGGATGCTCAAACAGAGCAGACAGGCGGGATACACCGTGCGCGGGCACCGTCCGACCCGCGCTCGCGTCTCCGATGAGCGGCTTGTGGTCTTCCGCCTTCCCCGCAGACGGTCTCGTCCGCCTGAAGGACTCCGCTCTGTCCCCGGCCGCTGTGATCTTTTCCAGGGAATGCGACGTGAGGTTGGAGCTCGGCTCGTTGCTGAAATCCTGCAGGATTCTCAGCGTGTGCTTGTTAGGCCAGCCAGCTTCAGCCGCGGACATGGCGCGTTGCTTCCCCCAGCCCTGCGACTCCCCGCCGGGGTGGTGAGCGCACTGACAGCCGCCGTCCCCGCTGTCCGCTCCCGCCGCCCGCTTTTCTAGTTTCGGTAACAAGTCTATCATAATGTGCATGGTGCACGCTACCAAAAACACCATGAGTATCAACACTCTGAATTTACGAAACAATATCATCTTTATATATATTTTTCTTTACGCAGTCAGGCTAATACGATTTAAGCGCAGCGCACCTTACAGCACCGACATTGATGTCCAACACTGTTATGCGATGACAAAGCAGCAATGTTAGGTTGAAGATTTACTGTGATCATTGCACACATAATGCGTGTCAGCCTATATTAACAACTCCATGATGTGCTCGGTCTTATTTTGTTATTATTGTTATTTTCTTTACAATAGTCCAAATTGTTCGTCCCCAGACAGGTGGGCTGACCGACACATTGTGAGCTCTGGACACTTCACTGGCAGCGACTCAAGAAGTGCTCTTCATTCATTGCCTTGTTGACCAGGATATCGTGTCAGGAGGACGGACCGCTAAATAAATCGTTAAGAATAGGTAACAGGAAGAAGAAGAAGGAGGAGGGGGGGTCTTGTTAAAAGCACCGATATTCCTCCTCAAATCTGCTTCCTTGTGTTGCTGCCAGCACGGAGTGAGGTGTCAATTGTGTCATGACTGAAAAAAAGTAAAAAAAAGAGATTGGTATAGTCCACAGCCTCCCTGGTATTTAGGATGAATTGATTATTAAAGAAGAAAGTGAAAATTCCATAAAGAAAATACCAGCTGATCCGCTGAGGCGCTTGGATGCTGTCCCGCTCCTGCTGTGTGCAAAGCCTCGTTGAAGTCAAATCAGAGACTGGCTGGCAGGTGTAAGGATCCCGGTTGTCATTTGTCTCCCCCCCCTTCACACCGCCTTGTCTTCCTTCCAAGTGTTCATCCACGGTGGGTGTGTTAAATATTATGATCGGAGCCCTCTGAGCCCAGCCTCGGTGTTGCGTCACGAGGAATAGGTTGGCTGCGTCTGCACATACAAGTACTGGAGCACTAGTGACATGAAAGGCGAGCTTCAGGGGGAAAAAAAATATGTGGACTGAAAGCCTTTGAGGCTGCAACTTCCCTGCACGCAGCCAGAGGGCGTTGGCACAACCTGAAATACTATGCTGGCTTTGTACCGAGATATATGATGTGAAGAACAATGAGTATGTATACTACACGCAATTCTTGAAAGTGCTCAATAAGCTACAGTTGTTTTAAGTGCACTCTGGGGAGGCATGATGGGTCCTTGAGGATGGGCCAAGGGTTCTGCAGCACACCAGGAATATTTGGAATTCATTCAACATTTATGAGAGGCTGACACAAGGACAGATGATGGACTATTATATTGGTACCCAAAACAAAAGTCTGTTTCTTGAGACAAAATAAAACATGCTGGCCAAAACACAGACACACCTACATCATTTGATGGACATAAATTGTTGGAATCTATATCAAGCTCCCAAGAGAAAAGGCAGCTGTTTTATAAACTCGCACACATTAGCAAAAACGCAGATAAAGGGCCAGATGTGTGTTTTTGTGGCCTCCTTCTCACACGTAGTCATACTGTAGTACAGGAACTTTAGTTACGTATTGTAACTCCAGATTCTAGGCTATAGGCCAAGAGCTGTCGCTATAGGGTTCATCCCTGTTTGCAAGCGTAGTCATGAAGATTTTTTTTCTGGCCCTTATGTTCTGCATAGGCCCCCCTTTATGCCGCACTTGCGACATACAACAGCCGTGCGACCATAGCTCTGCTCCCAATTTAAACTAGCATTTGTTCAGCTGGCGTAGGTGAAGCCATAGGGGCCTACATCTCAGATAACCTAAGGTACAATATGTAACTAATACCATTGGCTTCGCTATTGGGTTGAGGGCGAAGCTGATGTAGTCTATGCCCCACTGTGACACCAAGGTCCACAGGCAGACAGCATACACCCGGCAATAAGGCAGAGAGGCATTGGCTGTGTCACGGTTAACAGTCCTGTGTGGAGAAATAATATGTTACACTCTCTTCACACTACACTGTTGCTGCAGAAGAGTGGGACAAAATAATATGTATCATAATAGTCCCAATACAGCCCACTTATCTGTGATGGTCAGATTACAGGCACACTGTTAGACAAGTGCGTAAAAGCATGCCAGTCCTGCAACGCTTCATATGCTGTCTGGCACATTTAACACTAAATGAGTCAGGGGAAGGCTCAGATACACCAGATACAAACGTTTGAAGGTAACACGAGAGGCATGGCACGATGCAGGATCTGAGCCTCTCTTCACACACCAGCACTGAAAAGCGGAACGTTTACCCGCATAACACATTGTAGGGTTATGTCCGTTATAGGGCCAGCAGAATAACCGTTAGATTCTCTTCCTGGATGCAGTCTAAAAGGTGAGGAATCAGAGGAACTGGGGGGGGGACAACGCTTAAAGGAGAGCTCTGGGGCAAAGTTCAGAGGAGAAGGCATCTACTCCTAGTGGACGGTAGTCTCCCGTGTTCATTGAGAACCACAGTTCGTTATGTATCGATATTATATAAACAGAGAAAGCAGCTAATTAACACATTTGAGGAACTGAAATCAGATGTTTGACATGTTTGCTTCATAACAAACCCAACTAGAGACCATCGTACAACGGGTTCACAGCAGCCGCAACACCAAGTCGGGCCAGGGTCATTTAGCTCATTTTGGAACTCTACCTTCCATTTGATCTCAACTACACCTGTAAGGTTTTGTGACTGGCGACTTACTCAAAACCACATCAGTGGTAGTTCCCTCTACAGTAGGTGTCTCCGGGACCTCATGTAGCCATGATGACTCACATACAGACTCACGAGCTGGCAATTATTATCAGTCAATACAACTGTCGTCTGCTTTTCTGTGGATCTTTGAAACAGTAATAGACCACTTGTTTAAGCACCAACTCTGCTTAAACAACAATGCATACATCAATAAACAAGGTAGACACATAAATAAATGAAAAATGTAGAATATATATATATATCTATGTGTGTGTCTTTACCTCCTATAGACGCTTGACTTCCTTCACCAGGCAGTTGGCTTGTCTGTGCTTGTTTGCTGTAAATGTCTGTCTACAGTGTTATTTGATTGATGTGAGCATAAAACACACACACACACACACACACACATATATATATATATATATATATATAAAGAGAGCGAGAGATAGATGTGAAGCTTGTTAATTGTGAGTGAATTTCACAGTCATTTGATTCTGAGTTAGTATCAAGAATATTTGGTATTTTGTGAGTTTATTCATGTTTTAATTGTGTCTTGGAATCTCATGCTTCGCTGTCCACCCACGCTTTATTTTAGACATGATCAATTACATTTGAATCCAAAGGTTTATAATAAGGTTATTTGTTGTCCACAAACATTAATCTTCTTTCATGGAACTTTTGCTTTCAAAACACACCCGCCTGCCTTCTCAGAAGCAATTTTTTCGACTTGCTGATTAAGTGACACACACCTTTCATTTACTGTTAACTGCAGGGGGGGGGGCACTGGCAGCAATTACTGAAGCCAGCATTTATAGATGGGCCTGGACTAGATTTCTCTGAGACTCTGCAGAATTAAACGAGTAACATTTGAACTGCCATGGAGTTCATTCAAGCTGCCAGAAATATACAAACACACTAAGAAAATCTATTTAACCATTTTGTCACAAAGCAGAAGAGGTATACAGTGTCAGATGGGGAAGCTAGTAATGTCAGCTCAGTGGAAACACAGAGTAATGAAATGAACAAATGGTAAATATTCTTTTGGCTTGTGTTGTGTGTGTGTGCTGCACATGGCTCACTAAATGGGCCCGATTGGAAGAGCTTCACTTGGCTTGCGCCACTCCTCCCAGAGGCACTGAGTTCATGCCGCTGCCAGATTTGTGCGTCTAAATAAAACGGGATCTTAAAGATAACAAGCAAACAAATTGCTCTTCCAAAGGCGGCTCTACTGTCCCAATTCATCTTGTGCTCCAAACAAAACAAATTGGCACGTTCAGACACGTCGGAATCCACTGATAAAAAAAAGGAATTTCAAGAACTATTTAATTAGCTTGGACTCAAAAGACTATAAAAACCTCATACGATGGATTTTGTACATTTGACTGTGGGAGCAGTCTGAGCCTGTGAGCATGCTACAGTCACACACAGTTGGCACACAACATCAACGGGGATTGCCAGTGAGCAGAGCTAACCTATTTCAGCCGATTTGTAATCGTTTGCTAGCAACTGCAGTTGTCTTCTCTCTGAAGCATTTGAGTTATTTGTTCCCCACTGTCCAGAGCTTAATGTTTCAAAATACTTTCACTGAAAAGATTTTTTGTTTTTCCCACATTTCTGGCAAACAGTGACTGAGAGATTAAATACCGATTTGTGTTGATTATGAAGAAATTGTATCATTCATGCACTTTGCAACAAAGCAATTAAGAGCACTTATGGAAAGGAAAATGGAGAGACTCAATTTCATAAAGGTAACAAAAAAAAGTAATATGCATCCAATTGACGGGCCTAAAGAAGGCAACGGCATCCTTTTTGCTTTGGATTCAGGCCAAGGAGTCAAATTAATTTAAAAGTTAAAAGTGCTCCAGAATGAGCCATAACTATTTTGACATTTTACAAAACATCAGGAGAGAAATAAAAATAGCAGGATGGTCTTTTGTGAGGTCACTCTGTATGGGCTCTTATTAAGTCACTACCTGCTGCAAAACAATACATACACATGTTGCTTTTGTCTTTGATGTATTCCTTTTTAGATTTTTTGAATGACAAAAATTATGAAGAAATGATCAACATGAAGGTTAAGCACATACCAGCCTCACATCACATCTGGGTCATTTTGTCTTCACACGTGTAATAATGTAGAAAAGAATACATTTACACCTTCACTACAGCAATAATCCCCTAATGGATATGAGAATTGATACATTGATAATTAATAACAATAAAATTGAACTATTTGTTAGCCCATAATATCAATCAACTCTTGTAAATGATATGGCAATAGTAGCTCAAAGTTAGAGCTTCATTCCCACGGCAATTTTTCTTCATGAAATTTATTTTCTTTCGGGAACCTTTGAGCCAAAGAAGGAAACGTGACTAAAGATGGAGCAGTTCAGCACGGGGACCCAAAGTCTTTCTGCATTTCATAGCCGAAGCTGGTCTCATACCATTTTGATTAGCCTTGGGTATCAGACGATGACTCATCTTGTGTTTAAAATAAGATGGGAAGGGAGGAGCTACAGTATGGATAAAGGATCAATATTAACTTTGGATTCAGCTCTGGCTCATTGGTATCCACTGAGGAATATTTTTGTGTCTGAATGTTTGACCCCATCGTCTCTTCCTCGGGTTGGAAGCGGACTTTGTGAAGTTTGAGCTTCTAGACCTCACCAATGTCAAACTAGTCAGCAGGAATCAAGGTTATAAAACAATGTGACTTTAGCACCAGATTAAGGCAAAACTTATTTCTAATTCGAATGAATCAAACATTCGCAATATCTCTCTTTGGAAACAATAATAATAATAAAAAAAATCAATTTTTATTACTGCGTTCCATAAAAGGCCATAAGCTCCGTCACATCAAGCCCAGTTTTATGAGCGTGATGATTGTTAACAGCTAATTTCCAGCTGAGCCATAAATGGCTCCGCAAATGTCACAAGTATAGAAGTTATTATCGGGGAATAATGCAAGTGGATAATAGCAATACAAATGTTGTTTTGACGAATGGCTTGTCATTGGGCACCGCTGGTATGCTAAAATCAAGGAGGGTGTGGCCGAGCGAGTTAACGAGTGAGAGGGAGAGAGAAGAAACCAGTGAGATGGAGAGTGCTGAGTAATGACACAATTATTCGCTTGACTGAGAACAAGCTGAAAATGGACTTCTTTGGGGACATTGTGAAAAGAGCCCATCACAGACTGTAAGTGTTGAGATATTTCCACCTAATTTGCTACCTCAGTGTAATTTCCTTCAGTAAAAGAACTATACTCCTATTATTTTCTCTTTT